CTGTTCTAGTTCTGTTCTAGTTCTGTTCTAGTTCTGTTCTAGTTCTGTTCTAGTTCTGTCTGTTCTAGTTCTGTTCTAGTTCTGTTCTAGTTCTGTTCTAGTTCTGTTCTAGTTCTGTTCTAGTTCTGTTCTAGTTCTGTTCTAGTTCTGTTCTAGTTCTGTTCTAGTTCTGTACTAGTTCAGTTCTAGTTCATGGTCTTGATGTCGAATGACAAACAGTGTCTTGATATCTGAGAAAAATAATATACATTAGAGAACTCATCGTTTCCCAAACGAAATGCTTTGAATATTATTTTTAACAATTTAGTTTTATCGACCATTATTCTCATTTTGATTTTCCAAAATCAGCGCCACTTGAAACCGTTAAATAAAATTTCAAATAATATATTCTTGCCAGATTAACTGTTATTTTTTAACAATAACGACTAATATCAATAATAGTGGCAACTTCAATTTGTGGCTCAATTATTTTTAAAATCGCTATCAAATACTTTGAATAATATGATTGTTTTCAATGCACAATTTAACAATAAGCCATTATTTAAATAATTTTTAATTTTCAAATTAAATTAAAAAATATTTCAAAATTTAAATCACTTCTCCAACTTTTACATTTTTGCAAACTTTATAGTTGCCAACTAAACAACACAAAAAACGCCTAAATTCAACAAAACACTGGCAACTTTTGCAATTACTGCCGTTTGCTTTTTGTTTTGACATTTTGATAAAGAACTTGATTTGTTGTTGTTTATAGTGCAAACACCACGAAAAAAGTGAAAATTTCTGATTTTGTTCATAATCCCAAAAAATATTTTCACAATAAAATTGACAATTTAAATAAATTATAAATATAATAAAACAACTAATTAAAATAGCGTTATAATCAAAATAACAACAACACCGGTGACTTAATTGGGGCATCATTTTGATCAACATAAAATTGTATGATTGCTAAATTTCGAATGACGTAGTGTTTGTTAAGAATTTTTCTCTCTAAATGGAAATCAATTACATACAATTTGTTCTTATACTTTTTAAGCATTAGTATTTTGTAACAACTAAATAAAATAAGAAAAACGAAGATATTGTTTGGCTAAACAAAAATATAACCTTAACAAACGACAGATAAAAAAAAAAACAAAAAGTTGAACTTTTCCACTGCGAAAATTTTATTTTTAGCCACGATACGTCAGTTTAGCAGCAATAGAAGTCGCTTGTTTTGTTAAGGGGTGGACACCGGGTTAAGTACAGGTAAATAAATACAAGATTTATATCTATTCAATATTTGTTTTATATTATTAAGACAGTTGTTTAGTAATCTATCTATTCTAGATACATATTTATGGCAGTAATTGTTTTGTCGCATCTGTTGTTGGTTTTGTCTCCATAGTTCAAGCAAATTCTTTAAAGACATGTTGCCGAGAGGGGTAGAATTTGTGAAAATTTTACATTCAAAACAACGTATCATAAGTCAGCGGGCTGTGAGTCAATTTAAAAACCAACTATTTGTACCGACTTGCCGGCAAATTCTTGAGAATAATGTCGGTGAAAACATTAACAAAAATGTGCTTATTATGCAGAGGCTTTATACGACTAAGGATAAGGTAAGTTTGAGGTGGTCAACTGTGATGTTTTAAAAATGGCGCAAATTTGTAGATGGTTTTATGTGTGTAAATTTCTTAAAGAGATTTCGGTTTTGAGAATATAATGTAGACTTGGAAGAGCTTCTAAGTTTCTAGAGAACGTAATTCTTATGAAAATTTTAAAATCAAATCATTTCCTATAGGAATCCCGTCATATTTAAAGCATAACTATGGTAAGATTAAGAAACTTGGTATTATGACATTAGAGGTTCTTCAATCGGATAATTTGAACCAAGCTAAAGCTACTGAAACTATTTTTCACTTTCCTCTAATTTCAGATCATTGCTTCCCCACCCATACAATCATCTTCATCGACCGTAAGAAGCGATATACCAACCACCCAAACGAAAACAACAAAAAAAACTGCTACAGAACCAAAAAAATCTGTTAAAGAAAATGGTAACGACGTTTTAGAAGAAACAACCACTAAAGCTGAGGGTGTGAAAAAGACGAAGAAATTTGAAGTTGAAACTTCGAAGGGCATCCTATCGATAACCACAACAATAGAGGATTCTAAAATCAATGATATTGTATTTGAAAAGACTAAAGGCGGTGCGAAAAAGGCAGCAGCTGCTGTCAAGACTGCAGCAAAAACTGCTACCACCACGGATAAAAGTAGCAGTAAGCCCGCAAAGGAAGCTGCAAAAGTAACGACAACAAAACTAGATGCCGCCTTAACTGATGTGGTTAAACAGGCAGCAGCAGCCCAAAATGAGGCTGCCTCTAAAACTGTGATCTTAGATATGGCAGCCACACCAACGGTGGCAAATATAACGGCTGTGGTAGCAGATCCAGTGCCAGAAGTTAAACCAAAACCAGTAAGATTTAAATTTAAAGAAAATATATAACCTTTTGTCATTGACATTGTTGCTTTTAGAAACGTGTCAAAGTTGATTTAAATCGTTCTTCGTTGGAACGTAATTTCATTACACCAGCCCGGGCCATGAGTGATTTTCTACTTAAAGCTTCCGATTTGGAAACATTACCAAAAATTAAACGTCGTTCACCCTACGAACAGGAGCCACCCATAACTGTGTACTGGCGCAAAGATGTAGAGGCTAAAGCAATCAATATTTGGGGTTCAAAAGAGAATCTCATCAAGGAGTGTTTAAAGCGTGAAATTGAGCGTAAAACACATCAACAAAGTGAGTAATTAGCAATAAGGAAATTCATAAGCTAAATGCTAATTAAACGGAAATATGTTTACAGATATTTTTACTGTTAAAAGAAGACTGCGTGATTACCGGAGAGAAATTGGCTCTAGGGCTGCTGCCTATGATGATGAGCCCGGCTTAAGAGGCAAATCTGGCAAAGTTGTTTTAATAGCCATAGCAATGTAGGATTTGTTTTACTTTATTTTTCCTTATTAACTAAGCTCTTAATACTTTTGTTTTCTTTGGTAGCAATGGTTTAAATTTCTTATTCAAGGTGGGTGGTTGGCTCTTTTCTGGTTCGCATAGCATGTTCGCCGAGTCTATACACTCTTTGGCTGATACTATAAATCAATGTATTTTAGCCTATGGCATACATAAATCCACACAAATGGCCGATTCAGATCATCCTTATGGTTATACGAACATGAAATATGTTTCCTCTTTAATTTCGGGTGTTGGCATCTTTTGTGTGGGTACTGGTTTGTCTTTCTATCATGGTATTACCGGTCTAATGCATCCTGAACCTATGGAAAATTTCTTTTGGGCCTTTTTCATTTTGGGTGGTTCGTTAGTATCTGAGGGAGCTACCCTATTAGTGGCTGTGAATGAAGTTAGAAGATCGGCTAAATTAAAGGGAATATCCTTTAAAGATTATGGTGAGTTCGAAGTTCTAAGGTAAACAAAATATGTGAATAATTGTTAAAAATTTGTATACTTTAGTGGTACAGGGTAAGGATCCTTGTGTAAATGTGGTCTTAACTGAGGATGCGGCTGCTGTTACCAGTGTAGCTGTGGCGGCTGCTTGTATGGGCTTATCCACTGTTACTGGTTCGCCTATTTATGATGCTGTAGGTTCTCTATTAGTAGGCAGTATTCTAGGAGCAGTAGCTTCATTTATTATCTATACAAATGTAGCGGCTTTGGTGGGACAGTAAGTTATAACTTCTCTACAACATATTTTTGTATTTATTTTTATATTTTCCTTAAAGATCTATACCCAGAGAACAATTGGATCGTATTAATTCTGAACTCGAAAGTGATGTTATGATAAGAGCTATACATGATGTTAAAGGCATTGATATAGGCAATTCTTTGGTGCGCTATAAAGCAGAAATGGATTTTGATGGCCGTGAATTGGCACGCTCGTATTTGGATAAACAAGATCTAAATGAACTATTAAAGGTAAGTTTTTAGTTATATTGTAAAACAACTAATAAGTTTCTTTATTACTTTTTGGTTATGTTTCTTTTTAGATAGTGAAATCATTCCAAAATACTGATGAATTGGAACAATTTCTATTAAATCATGGTGAAAATATTGTTGATTTAATGGGTGGTGAAATTGATCGCATTGAAATGAAACTTAGGGTATTTATTTTATATTATATTTTCAGGTTTTGTTAACTATTTCGTTTTTTTTTTTCTTTTTACAGAAAAAATTCCCTGAAATACGCCACTGTGATTTGGAAATCCTTTAAGTTAATTTTCATATTCTAAATTCCAATTGGTCGAACTTTCCTTTTGTTTAAGAAACGTTGTTGTTTTCTATTGCTTTAAGCTTAGAGTTATTGATGCTAATTTTTTCGCGTTTTTATAGTAAAAAGTTTTTAAAGAATTTTCTTTGAAATTAACGTGTTTTTTATTTATTTGAAAATTTGAATTTCTTTTTGTATTAATAATACTCTTACCATTTTTTTATAGAAAAAAAGTTATTAAAATGTTTGTATTGTATTTCTGTAAATAGATGACTGTTCTCAAAATTTGAAAAAAATGTGATTATTGTGGTGCTAAGTGAAGTTTTAAAGAATTATAACTACTATATACAAAGCAATTTCTTATTGTTTTCAATAAAATATCGATCGATGTTTTTTAAAGTATAAGTGAAATTAAAAACATATTTTTGAACAATTATCTATAAAGCAATCTGTTATTGTTTTCAATAAAATTTCGATTTCTTATTAAATCCACAGAGAGTATAGTAAGGGGAGGGTTGTAATTTTTATGATTTAACTTGTGGGAAAAGTCCAATAAGAACTAAAAATTTTGAACAATGGAATAAAGCAGAATAATTTTTGTCATAATTAAAACATTTCATACTTGGGTGTAATAGAATTTTATAATCTGATTTCAATATATAGATTCCTTAAGTTCATTATTAAGAACAAAACTGACTGAATTTAATTTAAAAATTAGAAAATTGTTTTATTACCTTTAAATTAGATTTATTTCAACATATAGATCCAGACCTCATGCTTTATTTACTCTTCTTTTTCCTACCGCCACTACCAGCACCCGATTTACCCGAACTTTCAGCTCCACCACCGCCAGTCTTTTGCATTCTACCCACTTGCATATCTTTGAGTTTAGCTTGTAGTTTCTTTTTGGCCTTTTCCAATTCCTCTTCCTGTTTTATGGTTTTAGCCGGTTTAGGATGTAAGAATTGTTTTCGTTCAGTTTTCTTGGCAGCTTCACCACAACCATGAACCTCTGGCAGACCATGTTTAAAACAAAATCTCTTGTGGCAATAGTCACAATTTTGACCCATTAAACTAGTTTTGGTTTTACAACGAGCAAAATCACACAGATTGTCAACATCTTTTACGGCGGTTAAAACATCATCTAATTTCATTTCCACCACCTGGCTGGGAATTTTATCCAATAGCTCTAGGGTATTATTGGTGCCATAATTAGGTTTTTTACCAGGTTTTGCAGGGGGAAACAATGGTGGATCTGTTTTGTTTGCAGCCTCTGTTTGATCAGCAACTCCAGATGATTTAGCTGGAAGATTATTTGTAGTGGGTTTTTCTTTATAAAAAATATATTAATTAAACTTTAAAATAAATAATTTGTATAAATAAAACTTACCGGACATGTTAAATTTCAATAATTTGTTTATAACTTTCCCATTTTGTTTACATTCCACAACAAACCATATGTGTCATATAACACTTGTGTCAGTGTACTTATAACAGTTTTCCCCACAAAAATGTTGACAGTTATTTTGACATTTATATCAAATTCCCAGCTGTTTTGTAATATTTGTTTTATTATTTTTTTGTTTTGTTGCTTTTACAATAAAATAACAATAATTAGTAAAAGTTTTATTTATAATTTGCGTGAAATATTTAAAAAAAAGTATACATTTTAGTTTGTTTTAAATAAATGTTAGACAAAATGTCCTTAGATGTGAATAGAGCCGATGAGAAAATTTTAACCAGCATACAGCAGGAGTATAAAATTTTAGCAGAATAGTAAGTTGTTTTTGGATTTGCTTAGATCATTGTTTATTTAATTTGTTAATTAAACATATTTTACAGTAAAATGGTTGAATCTGAAAAGATAGGCGGCATGTATGTTATTCCTTCTTTTGGCAATTCGCTGTGTAAGTATATTTTATAATTTTCAAACAGAGAAAATGAATCAGGGCTTTAGGGACTGCAAAAGAGAAGTATCTACTCCCCTTAAAAGTTTATTTAAGATATACATTGACGGCTATAAGTGGGAGGAGGCTTTTATAATACTCGCACAAGTTTGAGAGGAGGGTGTATGTTATATCAAATGTTTTATTCGCTAAAATCAGTACAATATATAACCATCATTTCGACAAATTGTAGATGCGCCCGCTAACGACAGTCATTTCCACTAACATCTTCAGGATGTACTCTGTGTAAACAAGAGTAAAGACATCCGTCACTTTAGTGTTCTCCTTATAAGCGAAAGCGGAGACAGTCGTCACTTTACAGTCCGCAAGTAACATAGAAAGTGGACACCTAAAAAGCAAACTTAACCAAAAATGTCAATTGTCTTGTATTGACTACTATGGACAAGCTTTCTGACTGTCTATTTGTACAACCACATGTTAAAATAGCCAATAGCCAAGTGGGTAATCTCTCCAATGAAGTTTTTCGACTATATCCAGCATTCAGGGCTGTTAGCACAATTTCATCAGACACTAGTATCCTTAGATAAACGTCAATTGATTAACCCAAAGTACTGACATTTATCATATTCAGTACTAAGATAATCTCATCATTTGTTGTCCCCACTGCTTACATCTTGTGTGATTTTGTTGTCATGATTAGAGTGGACAACTACTATACTACTTTTACACTGTTAATGAGCTCACCGCATACCTCCAACATAGCTTTAAAAGTATTTAAATCTATTTAATTATTTTATTTTTTATTTAAAGCTATTTAATTATTATAATTTTTTTCAGTATGGTATGGTGTAATATTTGTAAGAACTGGATTCTATGACCAAGGCGTATTTCGCTTCAATATACTTTTACCCGACAAATTTCCAGAGGACAAAACCGTACCGGTAAGTTCACAATTTTAAATATAACTAATTTATTAATTAATCAATTTTTGTTCTCAATAAATAATCTACCAAAATAAATAAAAATAACATAATGTAGAATTAACACACATCGAAATTATTGGAATACAAATTCCATAGGTGTTTTGGGAAAACTTGGTTTCTCAATAATTTATTCAAAACTTTCTTTTTAAGTTGCCTTGAATATCTCAAAAATAAAAAAAAAACATATTTTTAATTCATTTTAGACCGTTATTTTTCAAAATGAAATCTTCCATCCCTTAATATGTCCGTTCACCGGCACTCTCGATCTATCACATGCCTTTCCACACTGGCGTTGTGGTGAAGATCATATATGGCAACTTTTAAAGTACATACAAGCAATATTCAATGATCCTGTAGACTGTATACGTGTAAATTCGGCAACCACTATAAAATGGCAAAATAATGAGGCGGTAGAATTATTAACCCAAAATCGTGCGGGTTATATAGCACGAGCAAAAGAATGTGTTGCTAGCAGTAAAGAACATGTATATGATGCACCGCCTACCGATGATCCCCACTACATATCATTTGAAGAATTCAACGATGAAATACATGGAGCAATTAAAGAACGCATTAGAGAGGGTAAGGAACCATCTGCTAATACAAATAACACACAAGCTAAAGGTCTATCGTGGGTAAAAGAAGGCGAATACACTCCTTTGAGCATGGAATAGTATAAAATATTTTACTTTATTTACAATTCATAATATTCCTTTACAATTTTTAATCATTTAACAATATATGTTTGTAGTATATTATTAATATTAGTATAGAAAAAAAATTTTTTTGTTCATTATTGTATTTCTTTATTAGAGTTTATACCATAACGTTGTGTATTGACGATCCAATCATTTTGTAATAAAAGTTTTTTACCTTTCCACCAAATATGTGAAGGTGCATTATGTTCACCTTCTTCAAATTCAAAATATTTACTCAATTCTATGGATAATTTCGATCTGATTAAACCAATATTACCCACTTTCGGCCAAGCCGGATGATAAACACGTCCCGTTTCTGGATTCATATAGATTTTTGTTGGTTGAAAGTCAACTTGTAAAATTTCGCCAGCATGATTGTAATGCAGTTTATCTGGTCCTTCAGAATTTTCAATAACATGTGTAAACACTATAGGAGTATCATCACATCTTATAAAATTACGTTCTCTACCACAAGGCGATAAATAGGGAAAATCTTCTCTATAACGTTGCGTTTCGTTTAGCTTAACACGATCAAAGAAAAATTTTAAAAACTTTTTCTCTTTAAAACAAGAAGTGAAATTTTTCATTCTGGCATCATCTAAGAATAACTTAAAAACCATTATGTTATTTAAAATTATAGCATTTTGTAAATAGTATTATTATTTAATTACCATTCCTTCATGATCGATATAGTAGAAATATTCTCGTATTTTTGGTTCCGGTTCCTGACCTTGTATATAACTGGCATAACGTAGCTGGCTTTGTAGCTTAGTATTATAGTTGGTTTTGAGTTTTGTTATTAAACGTGTTAATAACATTATTTTAACTTTAGTTAGAGTAAATTAGTTAGCTAAATAATAATTATTTTATAAATTTAGTTTAAATGTTTTTTATCAAAACAACAGCATCAGCTGTTTTAGGAACCCCTACGGAAAAGTAGCCTATACATAGAGTTCATGGGAAGGTTTGAGACGGCCTTCGCATAGACCCGTTTAAATTAAAAATTTTAAGCTCCAAAATAAATTTTGTTAAAAAGTTAGTCTAGTCTGGTAGACCGGAGTTGGTGGATTCAATTCCCATCTGTGGCACTAGTTAAGGAGCGCACAAAAGGCCCGTTAGAAGCTTAGGTGTATTTCTTCAGCTTTCATGTATATACATCCTCTTTTAGTTAGTTAGCCCGTTATTTAGTTAGTAAGTAAGTAAGTTAGCTACTTAGTTAGTTAATTAGCTAGTTAGTTAGTTAGTTAGTTAGTAAGTTAGTTAGTTAGTTAGTTAGTTAGTTAGTTAGTTAGTTAGTTAGTTAGTTAGTTAGTTAGTTAGTTAGTTAGTTAGTTAGTTAGTTAGTTAGTTAGTTAGTTAGTTAGTTAGTTAGTTAGTCAGATAGTTAGTTAGTTAGTTAGTTAGTTAGTTAGTTAGTTAATTAGTTAATTAGTTAGTGAGTTAGTTAGTTAGTTAGTTAGTTAGTTAGTTAGTTAGTTAGTTAGTTAGTTAGTCAGTTAGTTAGTTAGTTAGTTAGTTAGTTAGTTAGTTAGTTAGTCAGTCAGTTAGTTAGTTAGTTAGTTAGTTAGTTAGTTAGTTAGTTAGTTAGTTAGTTAGTTAGTTAGTTAGTTAGTTAGTTAGTTAGTTAGTTAGTTAGTTAGTTAGTTAGTTAGTTAGTTAGTTAGTTAGTTAGTTAGTTAGTTAGTTAGTTAGTTAGTTAGTTAGTTAGTTAGTTAGTTAGTTAGTTAGTTAGTTAGTTAGTTAGTAGTTAGTTAGTTAGTTAGTTAGTTAGTTAGTTAGTTAGTTAGTTAGTTAGTTAGTTAGTTAGTTAGTTAGTTAGTTAGTTCGTTAGTTAGTTAGTTAGTTAGTTAGTTAGTTAGTTAGTTAGTTAGTTAGTTAGTTAGTTAGTTAGTTAGTTAGTTAGTTAGTTAGTTAGTTAGTTAGTTAGTTAGTAGTTAGTTAGTTAGTTAGTTAGTTAGTTAGTTAGTTAGTTAGTTAGTTAGTTAGTTAGTTAGTAGTAGTTAGTTAGTTAGTTAGTTAGTTAGTTAGTTAGTTAGTTAGTTAGTTAGTTAGTTAGTTAGTTAGTTAGTTAGTTAGTTAGTTAGTTAGTTAGTAGTAGTTATTAGTTAGTTAGTTAGTTAGTTAGTTAGTTAGTTAGTTAGTTAGTTAGTTAGTTAGTTAGTTAGTTAGTTAGTGAGTTAGTTAGTTAGTTAGTTAGTTAGTTAGTTAGTTAGTTAGTTAGTTAGTTAGTTAGTTAGTAGTAGTCAGTTAGTTAGTTAGTTAGTTAGTTAGTTAGTTAGTTAGTTAGTTAGTTAGTTAGTTAGTCAGTCAGTCAGTTAGTTAGTTAGTTAGTTAGTAGTTAGTTAGTTAGTTAGTTAGTTAGTTAGTTAGTTAGTAGTTAGTTAGTTAGTTAGTTAGTTAGTTAGTTAGTTAGTTAGTTAGTTAGTTAGTTAGTTAGTTAGTTAGTTAGTTAGTTAGTTAGTTAGTTAGTTAGTTAGTTAGTTAGTTAGTTAGTCAGTTTGTTAGTTAGTTGTTAGTTAGTTAGTTAGTTAATTAGTTATTTAGTAGTTAGTTAGTTAGTTAGTTAGTTAGTTAGTTAGTTAGTTAGTTAGTTAGTTAGTTAGTTAGTTAGTTAGTTAGTTAGTTAGTTAGTTAGTTAGTTAGTTAGTTAGTTAGTTAGTTAGTTAGTTAGTTAGTTAGTTAGTTAGTTAGTTAGTTAGTTAGTTAGTTAGTTAGTTAGTTAGTTAGTTAGTTAGTTAGTTAGTTAGTTAGTAGTTAGTTAGTTAGTTAGTTAGTTAGTTAGTTAGTTAGTTAGTTAGTTAGTTAGTTAGTTAGTTAGTTAGTTAGTTAGTTAGTTTTCAATTATAAATTTCAAAATCTTTTTACTTAAATTATTTTATTTTTAAACAAACATATTTTCTCTAAGTGCATCTAATATTAAAAATACAACCTTGCAATATGTAACCTTCAGTTAAAATGACATTTAAAACTGTTATACAATAGATTTACTTGATAAACAAAAACAACAAGTGTGATGATAAACTCAACAACACAACACAAATATTAACAAAAAAGTGAAGTAAAGGCAAAAATTTAATCTAATTAGAAATAAGCTAAAATTATTTGCAACAGTTTATTTTATTTTTTCAATGGTGTAACAAAAAGTAAAAAATCTTACAAACAAAAGAAAAAAGTACCTGATAACGAATGCTGGAATCTCATTTATCATCAATAAAATCTAATTCTTATTAAGGTAAGATTGAAAATAATAGCAACAACAACAAAAATAATAAGAGTATAAATAAAAATAAAACAAGTTTAATACGTAAAAAAAACAATTATGTATAGTATTCCCAATAACAAAAAAACAATTTGATTACTTGTGATTTTATTTTAGAACGTGACAAAGACTTATAAGTGTTGACTAATATAGTACCTAAATCTTGAATCAATTTTACCTCTACAATGGTGGTAAATACTTCCGTAATAGCTGAGCTATGCATTTATATATTAACATGGAATGTGGGTACCCATCAACCGGGTGACATATCACTAAGTGATATGTTGTCTCTAAATGGTACTACCAAATGTCCTGATAACAAATTACCTGATATGTATATTATGGGCTTCCAAGAAGTCAGTAGTAAACCAAAAAATCAATTTATTAATATCTTCCAAGATGATCAGTGGACTTTAAAATTGCGTGAAGAATTATCCGAACATGATTTTGTTAAAGTGGAAACCGAACAAATGCAGGGTTTATTGATAAATGTTTGGACAAGACCCGAACATGTCTTCCATATGCAGGATATAGAAACGGAAAAGACTAAAACGGGTCTAGGAGGTTTGTGGGGCAATAAGGGTGCTGTTAGTGTACGCATGAGTCTCTATGGCACGGGAGTAACATTTATTGTGGCCCATTTAGCTGCCCACGATGAGGAGCTTAAGGAACGTGTCATAGATTACAATCAAATTGTGGATAATCATCATTATAAGGCCAAGAGATATCGCACCATATTCGATCATGATGTAGTATTCTGGTTTGGTGATTTAAATTTCCGTTTAAATGGCCATGACTCGGCCTGGGATGTTCGAGGAGATGTTGAAAATAACCGCCTGGATAGTCTCTTTACACGCGACCAACTTTCCATGGTTAGGGAAGCAGGCAATGCCTTCGCTTTAATGGAAGAACAACAACCCACTTTTCCTCCCACCTTTAAGTTTATCGAAGGAACTTCAGACTACGATCTCAAGCGTAGACCAGCCTGGTGTGATCGTATTCTATATAGAGTAGTTAAAGATAAATATCCTGATATTGAATTGGAGCTACAACAACTGTCCTATAAATCTCATCCTCAATATACTTTATCGGATCATAAGCCGGTAACCGCAGAATTTTTATATACCATCAAAGCCACCACCCATACCACCGAGGAAATATATGCCATGACTCATGGAGGCAGTGAGACACCTCTATCCAGTGTAATTATCATAATGTTTTCCTTATACTTAACCGTGTTTTATTAACATTATTTTTCCTTTTTGTTTTCTTATTTTTTTTTTTTATTTGTTCGTTTAACACTTTTTGGCTTTCTTCTACTTAACATTGATTGGCTTTTCCTATTCGTTTGTAAGTAGTTTTATTAGAAAAGAATATATTCATACACTTGTTTCCATAAGTTCTAAGCGTTTTAGCATTTAACCCTTAAGGGCGGGTTTCTTACTACTCAGTTAAACTAGGCTTAACTTGCTGTTAGATTAAACTCGGAACAAATTTAGGCGGACTTTAATCGATGATTGTGTTTTTCAGTTATGGATTTATGTTCAGTTAACTTTGTTAGTATTGCCAACTTTTCACTCAAAAACATAAACAATGAACAGCTGTTTTTTGCAAATAATACTTTTGTAAAATGAAAAATTTTGGAAAATTGTTAAATAAACATTTAAAACAATAATAAATAAAACAAAACAAATCAGAATATTGCAATTTACTTAAAATATTAAGTTTTTGTTCTTCCGAAATCATTGTTTCATTGTTTTTGTTAATTGTGTCTTCTCACTTATAACTTAAGTTTAATTGGCCAATAACACTCAGTTAAACTAAGATAATAAGTAACGTTACTGTTTACTGAAAAACACAAAACATATATTAAACTAGGTTTAAACAAAGAATGTAGATTATCTTTATCTGAAAAACCCGCCCTAAGACTCGAATTATATAAATTTTGCTTACTTTTAAGGGAAATTTTTTGAACATTTTTAAACATTTAGTTTGTTTATTTAAAAAGGGTTATGCTAGTAGGCTTAGTATGTATTAGTGTTATGGCCATTATCATTACTTTTTATTATTTCATTTAACTACTTATTTAACTACTTATTATTAACCCTTAAATGTTGAAAAATAGTCATCTATTAATATTTAAATTTTTTTTTGTATGGTTGTGGTCAAAGTTAGATCTATTTTGATTTCACATTAAGAAGTATATTATTTATCGACCAATGGAAGACTTTGGCTGGCTAATACTTTCGTTTCGCAAGTCTCTTGCGGTCCTATATGAGTTGGGAGGCGTTACTAAGTCCAATTTTGTTATTGTTAGGTTTCGGTACCTATAGAATGACAATACCAATGAAGATGCAACTGGCACAGATAGACTTGCATCACTGTGAGAAAGCTTCAGTCATACTAGCAACATTCCTCATTAACACCCAGACGAACTCCTCATCAACTTATCGACTATAGATAGTTCTATACTTTTGACTTATACAGTTCTAAAGTCTCGACTATAGACAGTAGTATAGTCAAGACAATGGATACTTCTGTGGTCTTCACTATAAACAGTTCAATAGTCTTGACTATAGACACTTCTATAGTCTTGACTATAGACACTTCTATAGTCTTGACTATAGACACTTCTATAGTCTTGACTACAGACACTTCTATAGTCGACTATAGACACTTCTATAGTCTTGACTATAGACACTTCTATAGTCTTGACTATAGACACTTCTATAGTCTTGACTATATACAGTTCTATAGTCTTGACTATAGACAGTTCTATAGTCTTGACTATAGACAGTTCTATAGTCTTGACTGTAGACAGTTCTATAGTCTTGACTATAGACAGTTCTATAGTCTTGACTATAGACAGTTCTATAGTCTTGACTATAGACAGACCTATAGTCTTGACTAAAGACTTATATATAATCTTGAGTACAGACAGGTCCATAGTCTTGATTATAGGCAGGTCTATAGTCTTGAGTATAGAAAGTTCTATAGTCTTGACTATAGACAGTTCAATAGCCTTGACTATAGACAGTTCAATAGCCTTGACTATAAACAGTTCTATAGTCTTAACTATAGACAGTTCTATAATCTTGACTATAGACAGTTCTATAGACTTGACTATAAACAGTTCTATAGTCTTGACTATAAACAGTTCTATAGTCTTGACTATAGACAGTTCTATAGTCTTGACTATAGACTGTTCTATAGTCTTGACTATAGACAGTTCTATAGTCTTGACTATAGACAGTTCTATAGTCTTGACTATAGACAGTTCTATAGTCTTGACTATAGACAGTTCTATAGTCTTGACTATAGACAGTTCTATAGTCTTGACTATAGACAGTTCTATAGTCTTGACTACAGACACTTCTATAGTCGACTATAGACACTTCTATAGTCTTGACTATAGACACTTCTATAGTCTTGACTATAGACACTTCTATAGTCTTGACTATAGACACTTTTATAGTCTTGACTACAGACACTTCTATAGTCGACTATAGACACTTCTATAGTCTTGACTATAGACACTTCTATAGTCTTGACTATAGACACTTCTATAGTCGACTATAGACACTTCTATAGTCTTGACTATATACAGTTCTATAGTCTTGACTATAGGCAGTTCTATAATCTTGACTATAGACAGTTCTATAGACTTGACTATAAACAGTTCTATAGTCTTGACTATAGACAGTTCTATAGTCTTGACTATAGACAGTTCTATAGTCTTGACTGTAGACAGTTCTATAGTCTTGACTATAGACAGTTCTATAGTCTTGACTATAGACAGACCTATAGTCTTGACTAAAGACTTATATATAATCTTGAGAACAGACAGGTCCATAGTCTTGATTATAGGCAGGTCTATAGTCTTGAGTATAGAAAGTTCTATAGTCTTGACTATAGACAGTTCAATAGCCTTGACTATAGACAGTTCAATAGCCTTGACTATAAACAGTTCTATAGTCTTAACTATAGACAGTTCTATAGTCTTAACTATAGACAGTTCTATAATCTTGACTATAGACTGTTCTATAGTCTTGACTATAGACTGTTCTATAGTCTTGACTATAGACAGTTCTATAGTCAAGACAGTTCTATAGTCTTGACTATAGACAGTTCAATAGCCTTGACTATAGACAGTTCTATAGTCTTAACTATAGACAGTTCTATAGTCTTAACTATAGACAGTTCTATAATCTTGACTATAGACTGTTCTATAGTCTTGACTATAGACTGTTCTATAGTCTTGACTATAGACTGTTCTATAGTCTTGACTATAGACAGTTCTATAGTCAAGACAGTTCTAAAGTCTTAACTATAGACAGTTCAGTAGCCTTGACTATAGACAGTTCTATAGTCTTGACTATAGACAGTTTTATAGTCTTGACTATAGACAGTTCTATAGTCTTGACTGTAGAAAATTCTATAGTCTTGACTATAGACAGTTCTATAGTCTTGACTATAGATAGTTCTATAGTCTTGTAATAGAAAATTCCATAGTCATATACAGTTCTATAGTCTTGACTATAGACAGTTCCATAGTCTTGTGTAGGCTGTTCTATAGTCTCGATTGTAGACAATTTTTTATTCTCGACTGTAGACAGTTCTATGCTGTTGACTGCAGACAGCTCTATAGTGTCTTAATGTGCTCTTTCAACCACTTTTTTGATGAATAGTAATTCTTTGTTCTCATTATTAAATACCTTTTTGTTTTCGTAATAATTTTCTTTATTAAATAATGAAATAATAAACAAACATCGTGACATATATGTAATTGTTGTTATTTCTTTTGCCTGCTTTGAATTTAATAATTTGCCAAATATTTATGCAAAACTTATTCATAAATAATATTGAAAACAAGCTAACAAATTACTTTACAATTTTAACATACAAACATACATATACGGTGATAAAACATAAACAAATAATTGTACAACAATAAATTATAGACAAAATTCTATTTCTTATTTAAGTCACGCTTATTTTAAATTCGTAGAATGAAATATTTAGATTGGATTAAGATTTCAAGAAAAATATAGCTAAATGGTCATTGTTATCTAAACATTGCTTAACATTTAAGGAAATTTTATTTAAACAAGAATTCAAAATTTCTAAAAAATTGCTTTGTTTTTGTAATAAATGTCTTATTTAACATTTAAGGGTTAAATTATTATAACATTTGCTTCTATTACTCTCTTATAAACTGCTACTAACAAATTACTTATAATAAAATTTCTTACTAATTTTCTTTTAATTTTTTGCTCTCCTTCTTTAAAAACAAAACCATCTTTCAGTTTCATTTTTGTACTAATGATTTTTTAACCTACCTCACAAAATGTTTCAAACGACCATAAAATTAAATTTATTATTATCTTTTAATTAGTAAATTAATACTACTTTATATGTAGGTATTTTTCTAAATTGGTTGTAAAAATTTGAAGAAAAAAATCATATTAATTCTTATAAGTTGATTGTACTTTTTAAAATTGTATAAAATTTGAAATCTCTTAAAAAAAAAAATTATATAAGTTTGTTGTACTCGTAATTTTAGTCTCAGTAGTAGTAAAATAAAATTTGAAATTGTGATTTAATTAAGCAATATACACTCATCCATAACAATTATATACATTTACTCTTACATATTTTTAATTATATATCTCAATACTTTATATTTGCAACTCAATAATATCTATTCAACAAATCTTATATCAAAAAAGTTGTTTTTATTATACTCATCTTTAGCAACTGTTATAAAATAAATAAAAATACAATAAACAACCATGAATGTTTACAAATTCTTTGTTTATTATTTGATTTTAACGTTTTTAAGTCAAAGTGTAACTTTTGAAAATTAGAAAGTTTTACGATTATTATCAAATAATTAATATAGGGGTTTTATTTTCGAAATAATTATATAGCGGCATATTATTAATTATAATGAAAAGTATAACTACTTTATAACCCAGATTTATGACAAAAGATTACTCACTATGCCAAATGTTAAGGACAATTGTTTATAGTTTTTATACCCTTCACCAACATCTGTGGTGATAGAAGGTATATATAAGTTTTTTATATTCCAGAGCTTATAATAAAGAAGCTCTCAAACGACTTAGCATAGTCTAGTCTATAGTGTAGTCTAGTCTATAGTCTAGTCTATAGTGTAGTCTAGTCTATAGTCTAGTCTATAGTCTAGTCTATAGTCTAGTCTATAGCCTAGTCTATAGTCTAGTCTATAGTCTAGTCTATAGTCTAGTCTATAGTCTAGTCTATAGTCTAGTCTATAGTCTAGTCTATAGTCTAGTCTATAGTCTAGTCTATAGTCTAGTCTATAGTCTAGTCTATAGTCTAGTCTATAGTCTAGTCTATAGTCTAGTCTATAGTCTAGTCTATAGTCTAGTCTATAGTCTAGTCTATAGTCTAGTCTATAGTCTAGTCTATAGTCTAGTCTATAGTCTAGTCTATAGTCTAGTCTATAGTCTAGTCTATAGTCTAGTCTATAGTCTAGTCTATAGTCTAGTCTATAGTCTAGTCTAGTCTATAGTCTAGTCTAGTCTATAGTCTAGTCTATAGTCTAGTCTATAGTCTAGTCTATAGTCTAGTCTAGTCTAGTCTATAGTCTAGTCTATAGTCTATCTATAGTCTAGTCTATAGTCTAGTCTATAGTCTAGTCTATAGTCTAGTCTATAGTCTAGTCTATAGTCTAGTCTATAGTCTAGTCTATAGTCTAGTCTATAGTCTAGTCTATAGTCTAGTCTATAGTCTAGTCTATAGTCTAGTCTATAGTCCTAGTCTATAGTCTAGTCTATAGTCTAGTCTATAGTCTAGTCTATAGTCTAGTCATAGTCTAGTCTATAGTCTAGTCTATAGTCTAGTCTATAGTCTAGTCTATAGTCTAGTCTATAGTCTAGTCTATAGTCTAGTCTATAGTCTAGTCTATAGTCTAGTCTATAGTCTAGTCTATAGTCTAGTCTATAGTCTATCTATAGTCTAGTCTATAGTCTAGTCTATAGTCTAGTCTATAGTCTAGTCTATAGTCTAGTCTATAGTCTAGTCTATAGTCTAGTCTATAGTCTAGTCTATAGTCTAGTCTATAGTCTAGTCTATAGTCTAGTCTATAGTCTAGTCTATAGTCTAGTCTATAGTCTAGTCTATAGTCTAGTCTATAGTCTAGTCTATAGTCTAGTCTATAGTCTAGTCTATAGTCTGTCTATAGTCTAGTCTATAGTCTAGTCTATAGTCTAGTCTATAGTTCTGTCTAGTCTAGTCTATAGCTAGTCTATAGTCTAGTCTATAGTCTAGTATAGTCTAGTCTATAGTCTAGTCATAGTCTAGTCGTAGTCTAGTCTATAGTCTAGTCTATAGTCTAGTCTATAGTCTAGTCTAATAGTCTAGTCTATAGTCTAGTCTATAGTCTAGTCTATAGTCTAGTCTATAGTCTAGTCTATAGTCTAGTCTATAGTCTAGTCTATAGTCTAGTCTATAGTCTAGCTATAGTTAGTCTAGTCTATAGTCTAGTCTATAGTCTAAGTTCTATAGTCTAGTCTAGTCTATAGTCTAGTCTATAGTCTATAGTCTAGTCTATAGTCTAGTCTATAGTCTAGTCTATAGTTTAGTCTATAGTCTAGTCTATAGTCTAGTCTATAGTCTAGTCTATAGTCTAGTCTATAGTCTAGTCTATAGTCTAGTCTATAGTCTAGTCTATAGTCTAGTCTATAGTCTAGTCTATAGTCTAGTCTATAGTCTAGTCTATAGTCTAGTCTATAGTCTAGTCTATAGTCTAGTCTATAGTCTAGTATAGTCTAGTCTATAGTCTAGTCTATAGTCTAGTCTATAGTCTAGTCTATAGTCTAGTCTATAGTCTAGTCTATAGTCTAGTCTATAGTCTAGTCTATAGTCTAGTCTATAGTCTAGTCTATAGTCTAGTCTATAGTCTAGTCTATAGTCTAGTCTATAGTCTAGTCTATAGTCTAGTCTATAGTCTAGTCTATAGTCTAGTCTATAGTCTAGTCTATAGTCTAGTCTATAGTCTAGTCTATAGTCTAGTCTATAGTCTAGTCTATAGTCTAGTCTATAGTCTAGTCTATAGTCTAGTCTATAGTCTAGTCTATAGTCTAGTCTATAGTCTAGTCTATAGTCTAGTCTATAGTCTAGTCTATAGTCTAGTCTATAGTCTAGTCTATAGTCTAGTCTATAGTCTAGTCTATAGTCTAGTCTATAGTCTAGTCTATAGTCTAGTCTATAGTCTAGTCTATAGTCTAGTCTATAGTCTAGTCTATAGTCTAGTCTATAGTCTAGTCTATAGTCTAGTCTATAGTCTAGTCTATAGTCTAGTCTATAGTCTAGTCTATAGTCTAGTCTATAGTCTAGTCTATAGTCTAGTCTATAGTCTAGTCTATAGTCTAGTCTATAGTCTAGTCTATAGTCTAGTCTATAGTCTAGTCTATAGTCTAGTCTATAGTCTAGTCTATAGTCTAGTCTATAGTCTAGTCTATAGTCTAGTCTATAGTCTAGTCTATAGTCTAGTCTATAGTCTAGTCTATAGTCTAGTCTATAGTCTAGTCTATAGTCTAGTCTATGTCTAGTCTAGTCTATGTCTAGTCTATTCTAGTCTATGTCTAGTCTATGTCTAGTCTATGTCTAGTCTATGTTCTAGTCTATGTCTAGTCTATGTCTAGGTCTATGTCTCGTCTATGTCTAGTCTATGTCTAGTCTAGTCTATGTCTAGTCTATGTCTAGTCTAGTCTAGTCTATGTCTTAGTCTATGTTAGTCTATGTCTAGTCTATGTCTAGTCTATGTATAGTCTATGTCTAGTCTATGTCTAGTCTATGTCTAGTCTATGTCTAGTCTATGTCTAGTCTAGTCTAGTCTATGTCTAGTCTAGTCTAGTCTATGTCTAGTCTATGTCTAGTCTATGTCTAGTCTATTGTCTAGTCTATGTCTAGTCTATGTCTAGTCTAT